GTGATTGACTGATATGTATCCGTACTGTAACACGGCAGTTTAAATTTTAAAAAATGAATAATAAAATAACTAATAATAATAATTTTGGTGAATAGATCAGTCGTTACCACTGGCAGCAGATGCGAAAACGTAGCGTTCATAAGTACAGTAAATGCAAATAAATAAATAAATATATATATATATATATATATATATATATATATATATATATATATATATATATATATATATATATATATACCAAACAATCAAGAGTAACCTTTGTAACCTTTCTATGTGATTTTTTTTCTATTCATTTTTATAAACGTGGCATTCTGTTTCTGGCTCGGTCAAGTTCACCACCGGTAGCACTCAAGTAAATTGCATCTTCTCATGTTTTGTATCATAATTATCGTAAACGTACATAGAACACGGTCTACAAATGATTGAATCAATTGTTTGATTTAGTTCCATGTCTTCCAGCAATTTGCTACAAGTGTATTTCTATCACGGAGTATTACGTGTCACGTGATTCATGTCGACTTCCGGTGGTTTTTTGTCAACAGGTGTTCAGTGGTGTGACGTTACGCATTATTATTGTGTACCGTTATTGTGCACTTGCAGGCAAGTAGTAAAATATGATCACAGAAACCTCTCTCTCTCTCTCTCTCTCTCAGCGTGTGTGTGTGTGTGTGTGTGTGTGTGTGTGTGTCACGAAACTACTTTCGTTTCTTTAATTTTATTTTTATTTATTTTGTATTTATTATTATTATTATTATTTTCGAAGACAAAATTAACTCAACTGAAAATAAAGATTAAAACATATTAAAAACATGAAATCCTTAATTTATGACATGAAGTTTATAAAACTAAAACCCCTGGCAAACGATTCTATTGAGGTTCATTGTCACCTCTATGGCTCTGTTCTCACAACTTTTAGATCGATCTATCACCGCGGGGAGTCTCACTAGATTACTGTCAGATAATCCCCCTTAAGTGTCCGTCCCCGCCTACTACAAGCTTTAAGGGGTAATTAACTTTCGTGTCCGCCCGGCTGACAGCTATTTAGCGTGAACTCCCAGGGAGTTAGGTCGATCCAATGTAGGTCGATCTAATCTATGAGAATGAGGTGTATTACTACCAGCGGTCACCCGAGGCACTTTTCAGAAATAGGCCTCTACAAGTTTCCCATCAGGAAGATAAAAAAAACATCAATTGTTAAGAAATAACAAAAGTCATACACCATAGCGTGTGAGAGGTACTCACCCGTTGGAAAGTCGTGCTAGACCGAGAACGGGGAGCACGAGGATGAGATAGGAAGCGTTTTAACCCGGCATCAAAGGCACCGATACTGCGACAGCGAGATTAAACGCCGCGATAAGGAGGGGAGTTTTTATGAGACAGCACGGGAGGCCTGTGAGTTTAAAAGAAAACCGGATGGGAAATGATAGCGTGGAATTAGATTCAAGATAGATAAGGAAGATAGAAAAAAAACTTAATGTTTAAGAATAGTCTGAAGCGAGTGCCGTTTATTAGACAACATGGGTTGGATATGTAGCCGCGCTAGTCCCACCATAGGAAAGCAAAATCGACGGTGATTTTTGTGCATTTTAATTTTCGTCCAACATTAACGAAAAAAGGTATTTTAAAAAATAACTGCATCTCGCAACACTTAACGTGATAATTCCAGCCCATTTAAATCCATAAAAACCCACAGAAATAATCACCAGTAGCTAATTCCATACGTATGTGAGATGTATCTAACATATTTCTGTCTGTCTGTCTGTCCGTCTGTCTGACTGCATACACTTATGCCGTCTTTAAATTTTTAGTAGCCTCACCTTATAAACATGACCCACTGTGACAGCGCGATATTATGTCAAGTCGTTACAACGGGACTGTAAGCGCACCCATAGCACTAACCCTCGAAACTGGGGAAAGCACTTCACTAAATGCGTCTATATGATAAAATCTCAGATGATGAGAACAGCATGAAAGAAGACATGCGAGTGTTATAACACTATGGATGCTCTGTGCAGTTACTCCACAGGACCATGATAACGTCCAGTTCCATTTTAGACGTTCCCGGGCGATTTATCGGTGGTTTGGTCGGGGCCACGAGGGGAGCACTTTTCACGAATCAAAAACAGTTTATATTATAACCTAAATGTATGTATTAGCAGGGCAACACTTACCCGCCCCCACCTCTTTTGACTTCGCAACAGTCAGACTTAACTGTGTGTAAGTTTTTAAAGTTAATAAATGGTAGTAATAATTACCGATCTTGCCAGGGAATTTTTGTCGAGCTGGTTTTCTTCTGTGTCTTTTACCGCTTTTGACAAAACGAAATAACCTCTTTTCCTCGTGATTTTTTTTTCATTAAGAGAGGCAAAATCACCCATTTTGTACCATTAATAATAAATTGGCCTATCTAATTATTTCTGTTCCCTTAAGGTAAACTTTAATGTTTTGAGAAGTAAAGGGCTCCTTAAATAGTATTATAATAACATTTTTTTATAACAGACTTCTAACGCACCCTGCGGACAGAGTTAAGAAACGTCCACTTGAACCCCTCTGTACTGCACTGTTTATAAACGCTTCAAGTTCTACGCGTTCCTTCAGCTGCGGTGCACGAAATGTCAGTGAAAGGTCAACAAAGGCGAAGTCGATTGATCCTTGAGAAATAAACAGAAACCCTACACCCGTTGCCGACAGGTCATGTAGTCAAATGAGGTTTCTGAAATATCGCTGTCACAATATGTACATGCTATTAAAATGTGGTTCTATCAAGGCTTTACTCTAATGTCAAGTATTCTTTCTTTTTCTATTTCTTTTTCAAAAGCTAAATAGATATATATTTCTTTATTATATAATAAAGCTATATATAATAAATATATATCTTTGTTGTCGATGCCGGTTACCCCTCTCTCTCTCTCTCTCTCTCTCTCTCTCTCTCTCTCTCTCTCTCTCTCTCCTTTACCCCTCCTCCCCCATCCCGATACAAAAAATTACTCAATAGGCTGTTAGCGCTGGCACGAGACAACGAAATCTGTCGATATTCAGAATATTTTAGTTTTTGATCCTTCTTTACGTCTGTACCAAACGCTGATGGCCAACATATGGTGATGATAAAAATATATGATTACAATGACACTGATAATTAAAAATAAATCACGATAAATAACTCACCGTGTTATAAAATACAGACAGCTTCCACCTTGTGTTGCACTATTTCTCCTGCCTTTGGAATCTGCATTTACCAACTGCACCGTGAGTCCTAACAGAATGACAGCGTCCGTACAGTGCTGAAAATCCTGGATAAATCTCTGAGAAGTCAACGTTATATGTAGACAAACCAGGATATTAATCCTGGCTTGTTAGTAGACTGAATGATGCACCAGCGTCTGTATCAAACCCGCGAACACCAGTCCCGCTGGTTTTGTATCTGCGGTAGTAGTATATCCTCACTGCAGCCACGTTTACAGTCAACTTAAGACGACCAGCCTTGGTTCATCCCCTTTCAGCCATAACTGTACCCCCCCCCCCCCCCCCCGTCTACCAGGGCTGCAGATAATTTTTTCACTAGATATTCACTGATATGTCTCTGGTTAAATCCACGGTTATTTCTGCACTGTACTGCCTCAGAGAAAATGCCCACATAATAAAAACCGAGGCTCTGGTGGTGGGTAAACCCCTCTTATGCCCCGAGAATTATAGAACTATCCTTCATGCTGCACCCTGTAACGTTATTGAAAAGACTGCCCAGCTTGCTGTTAACGCTCATATTCCAATGAAATAGAAAGTTTGATAATCTCAAGATTTTGTGTAACTGACAGCCCAGTATGTAAGTATGTATGTATGTATGTATGTATGTTCTTTTTAATTATCTCTGTACATTTTTACCCAGCCCAGAATGGCGTAAAATTGTCATTAAAGAATACCTAATATAACCGACGAGTCGTTGACCTCCCCCCCACCCCCACCCCCCGTTCAACTGGCCACCTGCTCTGTACTGATCTTGACCAGTCAGTCTGGGGACAAAGATTGTGAGTGAGTGAGGTAGGACCAGCTTCACTGGAAACGCGGTTCTTAAAACCCACCAGTCGCTAAGAAGATGAGTCAGAGAACGCAGACCTTAAACTTCCCTGCAGTGACGTCAGCTGCTTTAAAAATATACATGTCTAAACACACAGCTAATACATGCACCCTCTCTACCCGGAGGATGTTTTCATGATCCTTTTACGTCTATAAAACTCTTTTTATTTATTTATTTTTTTACGCGCTGGTAAATAACATGCAGTCACATTTTCAATAAAGGCGTACATTAAGATGACTTCATTCATTTTCCATTTGTCTTTAAAAAATAAAGAAGTCACTGCATTGTGCACCGGTGGTTTTAATCATTTGTAAACGCCACTGGGGTCGTTACGTCAAAGGCGAACTTGTTAAAATATTGGGTAGACCGAAAAATATGGTCATAGATTTATTAGGCAATTAGAAAATATGTTTAAAAAGGTCTGTTCTGTCACCAGGAAGAATTACGTCATCCAATCCCGGAAATAACGCCGGGTATAATTTTCATACGGAGCGACATTAATGCACCCACGGGTTTAACATGGCGGCGACCTTCCTACTCCAAGGTCATGATATGAAGTTTAAAATGGCAATCTAAGTTACAAATTAGTGAGGTTGACTTAAGTTTATTACGCGGCGACTGGCGTTCTTTACCTCTGTGTCAGATAAACGAGTCTTTAACTTCTACGCGTCTCTGCGGGTCTTTAAATGATATTGAATTGGACTAATACACTGGCAACTCATTTCCTAAATCACTTCATTCTGACATAATGTTAAAGATGAAAGAAAGAAAACGCTTAGTTTTTAGCCCGCTTCTTTTTTCTCTTCCGTCTAATTATATAAGCTCCATATATTTTCTTGTACGAATGGAAAGAAGTATAAAACAGCACGAGAAGGGGAACTAAGATAATCAATGAGCAGCTTCAACTGAAATTTGAAAAATCAAAACAGCATGAATTAAGATAAAATTTCTTTTTAAGTCGTATAGTGGTTTAGCACTGCTTTTGAAAAAAAAATCACAAGCATGTTATTCATAATTCTAACTCCGTTGCTACTTGAACTAATGTTAACTAGCATGGAAGAATATTAACGAATATAATAAAGCATAACTAACATGTAAAGAGTTCACGCCAGGCACGTTTTAGCCCACCGGCCATTCAAGCCAACAAGATCCAAGAGCTTGTCGGTCCAAGTAAGTGTCCAGTAACTGGAGGACAAATCTACCAAATTCATTGAGCCCGCCTTTTTTTTTCAATTTGTCGTGGCAAGTTGATTTTACTTGATAATTATTATCACTCTACCTGCATCATAAGACTTAATTGACAAGCATATAAGAATAATGAATTTTTTCTCCGATCATGTTAGCGTTCATTTTTTGTGGCTGTCAATATGAGTTAATAGAGGACATGTTTGAAAATATTATCTTTTAGGGAGTTTAACATTAAACCCATTAAAATAGCATATGCAATATTCTTTTGAAATATTCCATTATTTTAAGCAAGAGTATTCATAGCACTCGTATAAACTGGCCTAGAAAAGAAACAACAATTGTACCACAACGAAGAATGAAAACCTGCGTTTACTTTAGCTTTCACTTGTCCTATGAGCTCAGAATTGCATTTTTCATCACTAAAGAAAGACCTTTTTTATATTTTGTCATTGATATTATATATGAAGATAAACGTTCATGTAGAGCAACTGTTGAGGTATGTCTGTAGTACCTGAATAGCGCAATCAGAGTTCTCTTATAGAAAAATATATATGCGTGTTGGTTTCATATGTTTATATGTATTCCTTCCAATGTACCCGCATTGCATTTATTTGCATGTGAGCAACCTGTCGCCCTTTGATTAAAAATACCAAGTTGTACTGTAAGACATAAAACAGCAATTTAGAACATTGAGAACCATTTTAAGTAATGTCCTAAAGGGTTGGGTGTCTTTTTCTCTTTTCTTTCTTTCTCTCTTTCTTTCTGTCTTTCAATACGTAACGCCTCCCATCCGGTGATATTACAGATCGGACGCTGAGCCGAATGAAGTTCTTCCCAATATCGCAAACTCAGGTTAACAGCAGCGTGGTGAATGGTGATAAATCCATCGTATAGGCAATACGTGTAACGGTCCCCCATGCGTCTGTCTGGCATTTCATCGTTATGGCTGAGTGTTAAGTTAGCTTTCCTCGCGCATATCCCCATGAAAAGGTCCTCAAATTTAAAGAGAGGTGTTTCCAAGGCGGAGGAATAAAGCCCTTTCACGGCGCCACGGCCCATCACATACGCTGGTCCTGAAATGTACGTTGGAAAGTGCTCTTCGGGCCATTCTTCATAGCTTGTGTACCACTTATGGTCTTTAGATCTTTTAGGTACCTTGTTTACCAACAAAAACCCCATGTACAGTCTTGGCATCGGTTTCCACGGCAGATTATACAGATATTCAGCAAGTTTGTCGTACCGGACAATCATATCGTCATCTGTTTTCAAGATGTAAAGAGCATTGGGGCAGTACCGCACTGTCCAACGCAACGCCAAGACCATTTTTAGTGTCAAATTAAGGTAACAGTCCTCAAAGTCGGCTTGGATAATGTCTTCATACTTGTCGTTTTCCGCCTTCAGTGCGAATTGGACTGAGAAGTTTGGGCTTCTTCCTGCTAAAAACAACGTACGGATTTGCTCGTCTTTGTACTGCGTTCTGGAACCCCACGTTTGACGGAACAGAGAACGCTGCTGGAAGTTCTGAGGTTGAGTCACTACAATAACCAGTAAAAACACCCCTTGGTGGAGCCTCCCCGCTGTGTGGCATGCTCTAGGATTGTTAATAGTAAAGTTATAACTCTTTTTGTGAAGAAATAAATCCTTCCTTTCTTGGCTACGTGAACGCGTTAGTTCAACTATAACGAATATGGCAAAAGATATCAAAATCGTCACAGTCAAAACGCCTTTAACTCGTCTGAATCCCATGCTGCCTACGGAGTTCCTTTCTTCTCCGTCAGCTCATGCTGTATTTGTAAAGATACTGTACACTGTCAAGTCGATGACGTGTTGATATCTAAGATGTGTTGAAGCAGCTGTTTCAATGTTATCCATGGGCTCATTCCCAATAAAACGATCGTTCCACGTATATCAATCCAACTTTGGGTGGACTCCCGCAGAATGCAACCTAACAGATTAACACGCCTCCTGTTGTTTCCAAAGTAATCGCATAATCACCAGCATTTTTGTATACTACTCAACGCCCGGCAAAGGGAAGCTTTAACTAAATAATGAAAATCAAAGCAGCTTCACATGCAATAGTGTATAATAAGGTTTTAATTTCGATTCAAAGCCTCCCAAGCCAGGATTTATCCGGCAAAAACTCATATTTAAAGATGCATATAAAGTCCCCGACTTGACTCTGAAATAAAAAAAAGAGGTAGAAATGACGCACCAGGAAGAAGTTTGACTATTTCTAAATCTTCTTGATGATTTATAGTCTGACGCGTCTGTCTTGATTATTACTATATCCGGTCCTATAATGACAGCCTTGCCAAGACATCCAGACATTTCTTTTGTACGCCTTTGTTGAACAATTTATCAAATAAATGAATGAGAGAGAGAGAGAGAGAGAGAGAGAGAGAGAGAGAGAGAGAGAGAGAGAGAGAGAGAGAATTTAAAAGTTAAAAAAAGTACAAAAGAAAATGTGTCTATTCTTTGCTCACAGAGAGTCGCCGTTTGTAAACTAATATATTCACCCTGTCTTTTAGAGTGGGATGAACGTAGCCTAAACATTAGAAAAATAGACCTTTTTGAAAATTAGACCTATTATTTTCGCTGTTGCAGATAAAATCTAATATGACCACTGTAAAATTCTGATTCCGTCTTAGAATAAATTTAATAATGATTTAAGTTTTGGTGATCCTTTATTCTCAGACCACCGTCAGCAGTAATTTACAATTTCCCAATAATGTCTATAATTCGATTTTATGTCCGAGATCTTACACCTGTCAGTTTATTCGATTGTCCCCTATTGCTATAGTTGTGAATCTATGTGCTTTCCCAGTTTACCGAAAGACGTCAGCACTGCGCTAGATTTTTTTTTCAGCCTGTCTTTGGAGAGAGCACAACAAGTCGCAAATAAATAGATATCAAGACGATTTACATTGAAAAAAAAAGTTTATTAGATCAGATTTCATTTCTCAAAGCAAAACTTTAAATAAAAATATGGCTTTATAACTAAGGCTGGTTGCTGGGCCTATTTATAATTATTATTCAAGTTGAATGTCAAGTCCCAGAATGCATTGCGACAGTTCATCATGGCGCCGTAAACACTCGTGAGTTTATTGAAAGAATCGATTCGGTTTTCCTGCGACTGTACACTATTTAACTCAAGTTCATTGGGCTGCAGTGCACAAAGCTAGTCAACGGAACAATCCAGGAGAGTTAAATCCCATATTTGGAGGACAGAAACTTCTGCACGTGAGTTAGAGTGTTGTCACGTCTTGTTTTATGAAGCGGGTGGGTGTTGCGTTGTGTCATTGTCACGAGACGAGAGGGAGAATGAAGAAAGAGGCAAATTTTAAAGAAATTAAAATTACCTTGGCACTCTAATATTTACGCGAGGTGTGGGTTACAAGGAATAGTTCTATAACAATGTCATTAAAGTATTATTCGGGGTAAACAGGATTGAGGTGAGTGAATTTTCTTCCTGTTTTTTTTTTCTATTTGTTTGTTTTTTTAGAGATTCCTAATCCTATTTTTTTAGTAAATGTTAGCATTTTACTGTTAAATTCGGTTATGACGGAATGTCTATTTCACTTATCTTCCATATATGTGATAACACCCTAAACATTTTCGTCTTATGCAAAACCCTATGAAATTACATTATTTTCCACCAGGCACACTCTGCTCAAGCTAAAGAAATTAGTTTTTCTCCAGTATACCTTCTGTGAGTCATCCCTATGATAGATGTAATAGCTGTGACAGTTGGCAATTATTGCTGATCAATGATGTAATCTAAGTAACATTGTTAGTCAGATGTAGTAGGAATAATGGATTATAATTCCCAGCGCCACATACCCTACAGAGCTGCTTATGTGGTATTAACCATGAGGAGTATAAGTCAGTGTAAAGTGTAAAGCAGGTCGATCTTGTGTCTCCAGGATGTCAGGTTCAATCCTTTTATCCTTGGGCAAATTGTAGTCTTGGGTGCTGGCTGTAGCCAGTTTTTGGTAACCTGTTGAACTCTTAGCTCTATGGGGCTGGTTAGAATGACTAAGGTCCCAATAGCCAAGTACTGCACACTAACTCCAGGGGGGGCTCTTGCTGAATGCAATCAGATTAACAGACTTACACACCTCCTTTTGTTTCCAACATATAATCACCAGCTCACCTTCTATTCTTTTATTCTACTCAATATCAGGAGAAGGTGTTTAAGACCCCATTCCCATAGATTTTAGATCGATCTGTCCCTGTGGGGAGTCTCACTAGATTACTGTCAGCTTAGCCGGCTTAGGCGTCTGTCCTGCCTACTAAAAGCTGTAAGGGGGTAATTAACTATGGTGCACGCTCCGCTGACTGCAATTTAGCGTGAACCTCCAGGGAGTAAGGTCGATCTAAATCTTAATCTCTGGATTGATCTAAATCTCTGGGAATGCACCCTAAGTCTGTTAATCTGGTTGCATTCAACATGAGCCCCCCGTGGAGTTAGTGCCCGACTTAATCCGACTTAAATGTCCGTCCCGCCTACTACAAGCTGTAAGAGGGTAATTAACTTCCGTACACGATCGGCTGACTGCAATTTGGCGTGAACCCCCAGGGAGTTAGGTCCATCTAGTAAGATCAATCTAAATCTTTGTGAATGCCTTCTAAGCCATTCTGAAGGGCCCCTATGACTATGAGTATTGGATTATGACTGATATTATTGATAATTGAACATGACATGGGACTTTGCACAGTTGTGGGACACCCAGTTGATTAGATTAGCTCATGATTAGATATCTGAGGTAGTACGTGATGAGTTCAGCCATGATAATAACCAGAAATGCAGCCTCCGTTTCAGGATGTGGTAAGTGTGGATTTTCAAAACAAAATGTTCCTGAAGACTTATGCCCTTCAGTATTCTGTACATCCCATGTGGAACTTACATTCTTCTGTCCAGACACAAGAATTTTTGTAATGAATCAAGAAAAAATGTATGGCCCTTAGGTGAATGATCAAAGATCTATATATTAAACTGTTGAACTCAAGTCTGTCAGATGTTGTTGCAGGTTTTTTAAAAGCTTCTTTGATAAGAGGAACCTTTAAAAAATAATTAAGTGAAGTTAATACTAATTATTAAATGTACTGCAGCCTGCTTAAAAAGCTTATAGCACATCAGATAAAATAGATTTAAGTAGAATCCCCTGCCTCATAGTCTAGAGTGAATGTTATAAAAGAATTATTTTTCATATCCTTACTGACTGAGTATATATAAATAAATAGCAATATATTCCACAGGTTAACAGACAGAATATTAATGGCCCTTTATGGACCCGCCATGTAACTGGCCGTTGCGGTCATGACCTCTGTTTGCAGACATACTTTGGCAGGAACGGCTGTCCAGCCTCCATTGTGCTTGCTTTACGTATTGATTCTGGTGTCAGTTTGGTTCAGAACTTTGTGTTATTCACAGCACTGCAGGAGCCACAGTGCTGTGTTTTATAGGGAATTAAACCTCTTGCTGTGAACAGTCTGTTTTTTTTTCTGCTGAAAATGAATAAGGAACTTGCATGTATCAAAGAAATTGATATTCTGTCATGACTACTGGTATTAAGGAAAAAGCGTGTGTTTGTGTGAGAGAGAGAGAGAGAGAGAGAGAAGCAAAAAAACTTTTGCATGTGTGTTTGTGTGTGTGTGTGAAAAAGAGAAAGAGAGAAAGAGAATGTGTGTGTGTGTGAGAGAGAGAGAGAGAGAGAGAGAAGAGAAAAATGTTTGCATGCGTGTGTTTGTGTGTGTAAGAGAGAGAGAAAAAGAGAATGTGTTTGTGAAAGAGAGAAAGAGAGAGAAAGAGAATGTGTGTGTGTGTGTGTGTGTGAGAGAGAGAGAGAGAGAGAGAGAAAAATGTTTGCACGTGTGTGTTTGTGTGTGTGTAAGAGAGAGAGAGAAAAAGAGAGAATGTGTTTGTGAAAGAGAGAAAGAGAGAGAAAAAAAGAGAATGTGTATGTGTGTGTGTGTGAGAGAGAGAGAGAGAGAGAGAGAGAGATTCAGCTTTGTCTCTCCAGGTTTATTTTCCCCGTTAAGGCTCAAGTACGTCACAGTACCATTCCCTGAGGCCTAATGAATTCCCCATTTATTCCCAATTGATTACTGATGGCTGTTGTATCATCAGTCCAGACAGACAGGACAGAAGGCTTGCTCAGTTCTGGCTCTCATCTCCCATCAAATTTTTTTTTTTCCGTTTGTCCTTGTTATCAGAGCATAACCAGCAAGGTATAGTATGTCCTGTAGCAGTTATTGCTTGCATTCATGCATGGCGAGATCATCTAAGAAGAAATGCATGGTATAAAGCTGAATTCAAAAGAACTATGCATAGTATTTATGTGTTCATGTTCTAGTCTCATTTTTCCTCCATTAGGACACTGCTATGGAGCAATTTTTTAGGTGCTACAGAAGCTACATGCTAAATAACACCCCATTTCCATAGATTAGATCGACCTACTTTAGATCGATCTAACTCCCTGGGGGTTCACGCTAAATAGCTGTCAGCCGGGCGGACACGGAAGTTAATTACCTCCTTACAGCTTGTAGTAGGCGGGACGGACATTTAAGTCGGATTAACTGAAAGTAATCTAGTGAGACTCCCCGTGGGGATAGATCGATCTAAAATATATGGGAATAGAGCCATTGTCGCATTTGATGTTTACAAATAGGATTGCAATTGGTCTTACTTGATTGTTTGGCTACATGCTATGGACTCCACTAAACAAGTAATATCTAGAGGATAGCAGATCCTCATTACCATTAAGGTGTCTTGCCAAAGAATAAAAATCATTTCTGCTTTTGAAATCCTCTTTATGCAAATGCAGCTTTAGGAATCAGACGAGGATGAATGGTAATCCGGCTGATATTACTGCTTCCAGTTAGTCTTTTTCAATCTCCATTCTTGAAGACAAATAAGGGGAAAAAATCAATGCACCTGGCAAGGCAGCATCCACTGCAGCATTGATTTTAATGAAATCGGAGTTTCTGGTACGAGAGTTGAATGATGAAACAGCAGATTGGCCTTTTAGGATATTATTTTCCATCCAGGCAACTTCTGGGCTGTCTACTTCAGTTTTAGATTTTCTTTTTCTTTTTTGTTTTTTTTTTCTTCTTCAGATTTTTATTATTGAACCAAACGGTCTTGCAAGTCAGTGATGAAATT